GACTGTGATTGTGGCTCTATTTGTTAGAAGGTGGCAGATTTGGATGGTTCCAGAAGTGGAATGGAGACTTAATACATGAGGACCTTGGCCTCAGCAACTCAGGTGGAGCACTGTGCCACTACTGTTTTGTCATTAAATTTGGAGCTAACAGTGGAAAGTCTCTAGGGGGAATTGGGTGGGGTTTCAAGTCAATTTTCAGACTGAGGCAACAAGTAATTATGTACATTGTATATAAGGAGGGCTGAATTGGGACAAGGAGCCTGAATGGAGACAAAGGGGTCTAAGAAAAGGAACAACATCAAGGGTCAAGGGTTTGACTCAATGGTGCATCTGAGAGGGGGTAAAGAGGGTGCAGGCCCAGAGGAGCAGGAGGTGGGGTGGGAGTGGGGTGTGTGGCTCCAACTGGCTGAATGAAAAGAAGCAGTTGCCCAAACAGGAGTAAGGGAGAAAGGTGAGAGTGACTGGGACAATGCAGTAAACTGCAGGGTCTGTGGTGCATCTGTGAGGTCCAGGGGTAACAGAGGTTACAGAGGCAGAGTTGGAAGTCCAAAAGGATATTGGGAAACATGATTGAATGAAATGAGGTCACCTATGCAGTGGACTTAAGTGGAGGTGAGGTCAAAGTCTGAGGTCAGGGCTAAGACAGAAATCTTGGAGACAGAGGTATGGCATGGTGTCTGAGGTCAGGGTATGGAGACAGAACAGAAGGTAGTACCTTAGTGGAGAAGCAGGGTGGGAGTTGGGAGATGGAAGGTGATGTCAGGCCAGAGGTAGAGTAGACTCTTGGAGGCTGGCCAGGGCATGGGTGAAGTGGGACTCTGGAGTTGGTGCAGGAGTCGGGTCAGATCAGGTATGTATGGATATGACACTATTCTTCTTCATGGAAAGTCATGCACATTCATGAACATTCATAAGAAGGCATGGGGGTGCATAATGTCAATTTCCAACTTGAATTGGTCATGATGGTTCATGGAGGTTCATGAAAGTTCATGAAAACTTTCATGAGACTGCATGACTGTGTATGCTCCTGCATGAACCCTCATGAATCCTCATGAGTTTCTGTGCAGCTTTGCAGAACTGCATGAATTCATGACCCTTCATGACTTGGGATTACACTTTTTTAGAAGCGCACATGCAGGTCCAGGTCCGGGCTAGTCAGGGTGTGTGCCTGTCAGGGGACAGACCCGGGTCCCCATGACCCCTCTCTCTATAACCCAGAGCCTGACCTGTAACAGCCCATCTCAGGGCACAATGCTACTGTGGGTAAGAAAGTGAATAGATAAAAGGCAAGTAAGATACACTTGCCTACTGTGGGTAAGAAAGTGAGAAGAAGGTTAACTTCCACTTTCCCACAGTGGCCCAATATGGCGAAAACTTCCGGGGTTACCCGGAAGTCACATGAAGGTAGGATCCGGGGACCGGAGCATGCGGTGCAGGAAGCGCATGTGGGAAGTGGAGCGGGTCCGGACGCAGGTCCGGGTCCGGGCTAAGTCAGGGTATGTACCCTGACAGTGCCCTGACAGATGGGCCCAGGCCTTACCATTCAGTTGGCTTCTAATCCTCCCACTCCACAAACTCCAGACATAATTCAGGCTTTTCACCTATTCTATATTTGTCCTGTGGAGTCTTTCTATTTACTTCTCCTTCCCCTTGGTAACCTTTATTTACCTTCAGATCCAATTATCTCTGCTATATGTACATGCGTACCACTCTAGTAAATAGTTCCCCCAAGTTATAATATTAAGTCCTAAGTCCTTGAATCCAAACCCTCTTCCATGACGTCTATTGTGCTCTACTTGCCTGCTGCTCCATCTTGAACCAAGAGCTAAGTGACAGACACGCCTAAAGGTGCCTTGGTGTCAGGGCATGTCAAAACCCGGATCGTAGGGGAAAATGCGTGAGTCCGAATGCAGGCGGGGCTCAACTAGAGGGGGTCTGAGAGCTCCAGTAGTGGACCGAAGCTTCTCCAGGAAGCCCAGTTCTGCTGGATGGTACAAGAGGCTCTAAGAAGGACACGGCCTCAGCAACTCGGAGGGAGCACTGTGCCTCTGTTACATCTCGGTTAGTGTCAGGGCACACACCCTGACTAGCCCGGACCCGGACCCGCATCCGGACCCGGACCTGCACCCGCTTGTGTGCTCTGCCCTGCATGCTCCATGTGCCACATGCTCCAGGCCCGGTTCCCACTCTTCATGTGACTTCCGGGTATCCCCGGAAGTTTTCGCCATATTGGGCCACTGTGGGAAAGTGAGAAGTTAACCTTCTTCTCACTTTCTTACCCACAGTAGGCAAGTGTACCTTACTTGCCTTTCTATCTATTACACTTTCTTACCCACAGTAGGTTGTGCCTTAGGATAGGCTGTTCACACACAGGGCTGTGGGCTATAGAGAGAGGGGTCATGGGGACCCGGGGTCCGTCCCCTGACAGTTAGTCCTTGTATTTCTTATGTCTGAGGTATCTTGTAGAAAAGGGGCTGGGATTCACTCAGAGGGACTTGGGGTAGCATTTTAGTCGAGATTAGAACTAAGGAAAACTACAGGTTCTAATCTACAGGTATATAAGGGGGAATGGAAAGGACTTTAGTCAAAGTCCAAATGATAATAGAAAAACACCGAAAGGTGCCGAGTGATACCAAGAGGTACCGAAAGGTCCCGAACGATATCCTTAACGGGGAACCGAGGTGTCGGGTCAAGGGGGCGGAGTAAGAGGCCGGAAAATGAATGGGATCGAGAAATGGGTAAGGGGGGGTTAGCCAACTGAATGGTAAGAAGAAGATAGTCGTGCTATGAATGGAAGGTGACTAATAAGTGATGATGTGAGTGGGGTCACCGAAGGATGCAGATAGCTCCGAAAGCGGAGTTACGTATCTGAAGGATGTTGGGTGACTCCAATAAATGAAATGGGTGGAGAAATGGTTTAGGGGTATGTCACGGGATGTCGGAGGTCCATCGGGATATCGGAGCAAATCCGGAGTCTCCAAATGTTCCGACTCAGGACCGAGCTTCCAGGATGGGAGTGGCCAGGGTTCAGTGTGCCACAAACAGGCCGGAGCTGAGACAGTTAGGAAGGAAGGTGACTTGGGGAGTGGGGAGTCATGGTGTAGGGGATGGTGAAGTTGTTAGGAAGGTGTGTGTGGTGGGAGTGCGCGGGGTCAGGATTCCGGGATATGACAGGGCACGTCTTCGGGTCGCTAGCATAAGTAGTGCATTGCCACATGACCCACATTCCCATCAACTTCTTCTTCTTTCGCTTCTTGATCTCCAGTTTGATCTGGTCTGCAGCTGTTGGTTATGATGCTGCATGATCTTCTATCTTCCTTGATCCATTGCTACCGGTTATTAGTTAGTTGTCTGATAGCCACCTCTATTGTGTACATAAGACCTTGTGCTGGTGTGGGCATGTCCCCCAGCTTTGATATCAACTAGGTTCCTGGGGCCTTCTTCGTTGCAAGTGGGGATGGGGGGAAATTTGGAGGGGGAATGGGGGGGAAATGGGGGGAAAATTGAGGTGGGGATTGGGGGGGGGGAATGAGGTGGGGAATGAGGGGAAATTTGAAGGGGAAATTTGGAGGGGGGAATGGGGGGAAATGAGGGGGAAATTGAAGGGGGGAAATGGGGGGAAAATGAGGGGGAACTGGGGGGTTTCTAAAATTTTGAAAAAAAGTCAGAGAAAAGTAAGGAAAATTCAGAAAATGGGGGACTTTCTAAAAAAGGAGAATGTCCAAAAAATCAGAAATTTTGGGATAAGTTAGGGAGTGATATTTCAGGAAATCAGGAATAATTGGAAAAATATAAAACCACTTTTTGATAATTCAATGTGCATTGGAAAGTGCCAAAGTGGGGCAATGTAGCAATGTATGTTTCAGTGTTAAAAAAGTCTCCCACCATGCTTTGGTGAGCCAAATAACCATGGCTTTTTGACCATCAGAAATTGGGTGTCAAAGGCTTGGATGATATCAAAAGAATACATCAGCTTTTTGTTTGCTTTATTGGGTGGTATTTTTAATTTATTTCATTTGGAACACTTTTTTAAAACTGATTTATACCCTACATAACATGCATGGTTACATTGCCACACTTCAGTGCTTTCTAATTCACATAGAATCATCAAAATTGGTTGAGTTTTGAGCAAGAAATGAGATGAAAGATAAAGTGCAAATTTTTGAATTTCAGAGTTTTCCTCAAATTTTGTACATAGCAATAAACAAATAAGGTGCTGATTTTAGTAAACACAAAAGATATATGAGCTCTATGAGCCCACTGAGCCCATAGAGCCCATAGAGCTCATAGAGCTTTCAGAGCAATGACAATGGTGTCAAAAACCCCGAATGTAGGCATGAGTCCAAATGCAGGCAGGGCTCAACTAGAGGGGATCCAAGAGCTCTGGTAGTGAACCGAAGCTTCTCCAGGAAGCCTGGGTCTGCTGGGTGGTACAAGAGGCTCTAGAAAGGATGCGGCCTCAGCGACTTGGAGGGAGCGCTGTGCCTCCATTACGTCTCAGTTAGTCATGTTTCTGAGGTATCTTGTAGGAGGGGGTCAGGATTCACTCATAGAGGGACTTGGGGTAACTTTTAGTCGAGATTAGAACTGGGATACAATGGGTTTTAATCTACAAGTATTTATATATGGAGGAAGGGGAAGGACTTTAGTCAAAGTCCGAGTGATAATGGAAAACACTGAAAGGTGCCAAATGATACCGAAGGATACCGAAAGGTCCTGAATGATATCCTTAACGGGGAACCGAGGTGTCGGGTTGAGAAGGGCGGAGTAAAAGGCCGGAGGATGAATGGGAACGAGAAGTGGGTAAGAGGAAGTTAGCTGACTGAATGGGAAGAAGACAACAGTCGTACTATAAATGGGAGGTGACTAATTTGTGATGACATGAGTGGGATCACCAGAGGATGTTGGTAGCTCTGAAGGCAGAGTTATGTATCCAAAGGATGTTGGGTGACTCCAATAAATGAAATGGGTGGGGGAATGGTTTAGAGGTATGTCACGGGATGTCTGAGATCCGTCGGGAGGTTCGAGCAAATCTGGAGTCTCCAAATGTTCCGACTCAGGACCGAGCTTCCGGGATGGGAGTAGCCAAGGTAAAGTGTGCTGCAACCAGGCCGGAGCTGAGACAGTTGGGAAGGAAGGTGACTTGGGAAGTGGGGAGTTATGGTGTAGGGGATGATGAGGCAGTTAGGAAGGTGTGATGAGGTGGGAGAGTATGGGGTCGGGAGTCCGGGATATGACAAATGGCCATTTTACACACACATATATCCATATTATCTTTGCACTACTGATGCCAAAGTAACTAAGCAGATTTCATGGAGATGTGAAGACCATCCATTATTTAAAAACAAAAAGCTCTATGAGCTCATAGAGCTTTTCAAGTAATGATGCTGGCCATTTAAGATGCATTTCCAAAAATGAATATACATATTATCTTTGCACTTCTGCATCCACAAAATCATTTATATATTTAATTTTCTCCACCCAATGTGTAGAGGGTGCACAGCAAAAAGACTCAATTTGCTCACAGAGCTCTGTGAGCTCAGAGAGCTCCCTACCAAGTTTGCTGATGCACCAGAGCTCCGCCCCACCTCCGGCCTGTCTCCAACTCACCACCAGATGACCCAGAACATCAAGCTCCATCAGACACACCTGCCTGGGTAGTGTTTTGGATCTTCCCCGGGTGGGTTCGTGACACAAGCCATATGACTGGGCCCCTAGTCCAGGGCCACCACTTCCCATTAGGTGGACCATTCCATCTGAGGAATTGGGGACGCCACCCAACCACATGTATGTTGAGCTTCCTCAACAACCTGTTATCCTCAAACAGGCCCAGCCCCAGCAAGACATTCCCATGGTCAGCGCTGAACCCATACCCCAAGACAAAGGAAAGCAGAGGGTGTATCCATGGCAGCCACCCATTAATACTGCTGGCCCTTCAGGAACAAGTGCCCCATGAACTAAGGTGACCTTTGAAGAAGGCCCTGCCCCTAATGCAAAGGTGCCACCTGCCAGAAGAACCATGCCTGCTTACAAGTTCACATCCAAACTGCAGGATAAGTTAAACACTGAGTCTGCATTTGAGCCAGAATGTGACACTGTAGGAGGGACGAGCCGGTAGTACCCAAACAGCACCATATAACGGTCTACAGACGTTACCTGGGACCTGACACACAATCCCCCAGTCCCCCAAAGCCCGTTGCACTTCCCCCATCATCTCTGTATTTTTTGATATTTTTCCAGACCAGGTTACGGCCACGTAGTTTCCATATCAGGCCACTTTCATGGTATTTTCACCATATCTCCCCCAGTTCTTCTTCGATCCAGACGCATTAGGTATCGTTGGAAAGCTACCGTCAAGACGAGTCAAACAAGTCTAATATCGGAAGATTTGGTGCCCCCGTTGTGGAGATTGTCGAATTCTATCGATTGTGTGGCCGCACCCATATATTTTTTATGTTTTCTGTTTTTGATTATATACAAGCATGTATCTAGTATGAAAAGAGATCTTCTCCTTCCCTGCTTTAGTGCCAGTCTGACAGTACCACATCTGGGAGCATGTGAACGAGTTCGGTTAGGTTTAGGGTGACGTTGAGAAGGTGGGACACCTTGCTTGGCCCTAGGGAAGGTCCACCAGTTGGTCTAGTTGGTTTTTCATGGAAGTTTGAGGTTTCGGACCTAGTAGTAGGAAGGTCCGCCAGTGAGTCTGCCAACACTGCAGTTTTGTTCCTCCTGTCAGAGTCCACATGACAGTTCGCATGTAAGGATATCCCCAGGAAACTAGTCGATATCAAAGCTAGGGAGCTAGCCTAGCTGGCATAGGAGCCTTATATACATGAGTTCCGCTAACTCACGAGAGCACAGCTACACTGGGAATACATGGTAACCGATAGAAGTAGGACATTGGATAGGAGGATAGATGATGTGGACGGACGGGCGATAGCAGGTAAGGGGTGATGTGATAGCGATAATAAGTGCAATGAATAATACCTGCATTCTAACTACGTAAATATCTCACACAATCTCGGCTAACGGTTACGTCATTGATATCACTTAGAGTAAAGGGGGGCCAGATACCCGGCCGTCCCCTAACACCTCCCCCTTTCATTACCTGTGTGTGTGTGTGAGGGTGGTCTGGTCAGGTTCAGAGGTCTTGTGCCCCTGTAGCCCTTCAGCCCATTCTCCCCACTTGCAACACTGCCACTGGGCACTGTCCTAGAATCCTCATTTGAGCTTAACAAGTGCATGCAAGTGGCGACAAAGGTTCAGAGGATGCCACTGAATAAGAAGTCCAGCACCGCAAGTCTGCAATACACCACCCCCATCAACTACGATTCAGACGATAGCCAGCCTATCTACGAAGTCTATCACTTAGAAGCTGGTGTAGATAATATAACAATTTCCGTTAAAGATGAGTCAGCCCCCAGTGAGACAGTCTACAACATCTTTGACCTAGATTCGTACTTCAATGCTGAGTGTTATAGGAATGGACCTAGAATCTTATGGTCCGTGACTATGAACAATCAAACCTTTGGTCCCTTCACCTTTATTTCATTGTCAAACCCCATGCCAAGCTTTCCCACTGGGTTTTGGTACTGGCTGGGGAATTTGTTGAGTTTCAAGGGACTTCCCTTGACCATTGTGACTTTTATATTAGATAGTTAGAAGTCATATGATGTGTAAGGCAGATGCCGAAAAATGTCTTTCCTTATCAAATACATAACCCCCAAAACCTTGTACCACAATTGTAACTGCCACCATTGTGGCCACCACTGTGAACCTCCCCTGTAGCATCTGACTTGACCCATATCAATGTCTACATCGATATTCTTACAATCTGTGAGAAAGCCTCAATGGCCCGGTGAGTGCTCAGACACCGGACCTCACTCTTCCTGCTCCCACCCCCCCACTGGGTGGTTGAGCTCCCATTCCTACCCTTCCTGTAGCACCCTACTGGGTCCTACAACCCTTCCTCCCTTCTTGGGAGGGAGAAGTGACTCAGGCAGCCCCAGGATGCCTGGCCACATACCTGCAGGCCCAAATTCCAACGGTCACTCACTACCATGCACTGGTCAACCAACCTGCCTGTCCCAACAAATCCTGCTACTGGTACGCTCCCCTGAGCACCAAGTAACTGATAGTCGACCACTGGGCTACTCCCTCAAGGAGTGCCGACTACCCACGCTACCGGTACGCTCACATGAGCACCGAGTCACTGCTAGCTGACTGTTAGGTGGCTCCCTCAAGGAGCCCCCATTATACCCGCTATCAGTATGCTCCTTGGAGTGCCAAGTTACTGCTAGTACACCCGGCCTCAGATCTTCTCCTGCTCTCCTCCCAACAGCTATGCAGCCACATCCACCCATGAGTAGAATGGCTCAGGTTGGGTTCCCCAGAACCCATTCCTGTAACAAAGAGCACCAGGACCATGATCTGGACCTGTGCATCACCGAAGCTGAGAATAATTGCAAAAAGCCTTTTGAAACTTTCGACTTTAGAGCATGTGTCGAAGACAAAGATCTCTGCAGCCTGGCCTTCCAAGTTATGGACATCTACAGCCACCTTGATGATGAGGACCACCGCAAAGTGGCACATAGCACTCTTGGTTCACCTCTGAGCACAAATGCCAAGAAATTTGACGAGGCCCCATGTGAAAGCTACAACTTTGGTGTCAGGGCACACCCGCTCACCCAGCTCCACCTGGTGCCCCTTCCCCTCTTCCCTCCTCTTCTTTTCTTTCTTTCCTTCCTTTTTTCCCTTTCCTTTATTTCATTCTTCCCATCACTCTCTTCCTGTTTATTCCTTCTATTTACACAGACCACTTTCCCTTGTATCATTGTACTGTTAACCCGACTGGCCCAGACACCCTGGACAGCTTCCCACTGTGCCCAGCATGTGCACCTGCAGTGGATGCTCTCAGGATCCCCCACGGGGACACCCAGATGGCTGCAGCTGTCTCCAAGGATGACATGGCACCCATCATGTGACCCAAGCCACATGTACATAAATGTACCTGAAGTGGGAACCGAAGAAGTAACCTTCTTCTCGCCTTTTCCACTTCAGGTAAGTGCATCAGCAAATTGAGTCTTTTTGCTGTGCACCCTCTACACATTGGGTGGAGAAAATTAAATGTTTGAATGATTTTGTTCTCCTAAGGATGCAGAAGTGCAAAGATAATATGTATATACATTTTTGGAAATGCATATTAAATGGCCAGCATCATTACTTGAAAAGCTCTATGAGCTCACTGAGCTCATAGAGCTCATAGAGCTTTTTGTTTTTAAATAATGGATGGTCTTCATATCTCCATGAAATCTGCTTAGTTATTTTGGCACCAGTAGTGCAAAGATAATATGGATATATGTGTGTGTAAAATGGCCATTGTCATTGCTCTGAAAGCTCATATACCTTTTGTGTTTACTAAAATCAGCACCTTATTTGTTTATTGCTATTTACAAAATATGAGGAAAACTCTGAAATTCAAAAATTTGCACTTTATCTTTCATCTCATTTCTTGCTCAAAACTATGATTCTATGTGAATTGGAAAGCACCAAAGTGTGGCAATGTAACCATGCATGTTATGTAGGGTATAAATCAGTTTTAAAAAAGTATTCCAAATGAAGTAAATTAAAAATACCACCCAATAAAGCAAACAAAAAGCTGATGTATTCTTCAGATATCATCCAAGCCTTTGACACCAAATTTCCCATGGTCAAAAAGCCATGGTTATTTGGCTCACCAAAACATGGTGGGAGACTTTTCTAACACTGAAACATACATTGCTACATTGCCCCACTTTGGCACTTTCCAATGCACATTGAATTATCAAAAAAGTGATTTAATTTCTTTTCCAATTATTCCTAATTTCCTGAAATATCTCTCCCTAACTTATCCCAAATTTTCTGATTTTCCCCCTAATTTCCCCTGATTTTTTGGACATTCTCCATTTTTAGAAAGTCCCCCATTTTCTGAATTTTCCTTAATTTTCCCTGACTTTTTTCAAGTTTTTAGAAACCCTGCAGTTCCCCCTCATTTTCCTCCCATTTTCCCCTTCATCCCCCCCTCAATTTCCTGTTGTAACTCAGGTTATGGCACCTCTGAGATGAACTGTAATGTTTATACAAGAGTAGAAACAGATAGAGTTCATCTCTGCAGTCATGTGACACATAAAAGGAAAAGAAAAGGAAATCAAACAAGAGGTAGATGTACTACAACATTTCCCCCCAATTCCCTCTGCAATTTCCCCCCATCCCCCCCTTCGATTTTCCCCTCATTCCCCCCCCCATTCCCCCTCCCAATTTCCCCCTTCAAATTTCCCCTCATCCCCCCCCATTTTCCCCCCATTTCCCCCCCATTTCCCCCCTCAATTTTTCCCTCAATCCCCACCTCATTCCCCCCCCAATTCCCACCTCAATTTCCCCCCCATTTTCCCCCCATTTTCCCCCTCATTTTCCTTAAGTAATTTCAGATTAACTGTATGCATATCCCTAACTTTGGTCTATATATTAATTTGGCTATATACCCTTGGTGTGTAGTGCTGCATTGGGGGCTGAAAGTTAAGCTCAGTTTGTTCAGTTTCCTGCATGGTAGGGACTTGGCTGTGACTCATCACATGATGCCAGAGTCAATGCTCTTAAATTTTAATTTTGATATCGGGTAAATTAAACACTCAGGGAGCTCATATAGATAATAGTCCCCTGTGTGCAAATATAGCTCTATGAGCTCTCAGAGCTTTGACTACTTTGGGGAGCTCTGAGAGAAGGGGACCTGCAATTTCAAAGGACTGAAGCTCTGAGAGCTCTGAGAGCTCTATGAGCTCTATGAGCTCTCAGACCTCCGCATTCAGGTTTGCTGATGAGTGAATGGAATCATTCATGTTGATATTCAGAAAAACACGTATACTGCTGAATCATTCAACAACTTTATTGCTTCAATTCTTATTCGCATGAACCCAGATC